TTAGAGTAAGTTTTGCATAAATTTTGTTTTGTTTTTTATTTCCAAGTTTAATTTAAATAGCTTGGTCACGAGAGTGAGACGTTACTTAACATGATTTGTCACGAGAGTGAGAATTAACTAAGGTTCGAGCCGGCACTGCGAGAGCGTGAGGATAAGACCAGATAGTGGGAACGGGGCATCGATCCTAGACAGAGAGATAAAACTTTAGGTATCAACTAGGACTTAATTAGTTTTCAAAATACGCTTCTTAATAAGAATGGGTGAATGAGAGCAAAATCTCATGGTTAGGGAGTGTGGCTTTATTCAATAGCGCGAGTGTGTGAGATTTAACCTTTAAACTAATATTTTCCTACTAAATACTATTTAATCATAAATTAACGCCAATTAGTGATAGAGTCCCTGAGGTACACGGAATCCTCATTTCGGCCTTTCTTTTCTTATATATATTTTCTTAATCTTATTTTAGATTTTATTCTAGTCTTAGTTTCCCCTTAATCAATTACTCGTTAGCCTTAGCTTTAAAAAACGATAATAGATTACAATAGGTTGATATTGGTCTCTTTGGGTTCGACAATCTTTTATATTACTTCGATATTTTTGTACACTTGTGGACACATCACTACGTAAGTTTAATTCAATGAGAAAAACAAGAAGTCGAATGGAAAATGGCTCATGAAGAATAAAGATAACTTTTTGAATTTTGGTGGAAGAGAGTCTCAAAGTTCCAAGAATTTGGCTTGTCAAATGGGTGAGAGCTACTACAACAAAAATGATGGTCAAGAAAACTTTAGAGGTGAAAGGGGAAATATTGACAAGAGCAAGATGCAATGATTTATTTGTCAAAAGTTAGGTCATTTGGCAAGAGAGTGCAATGCAAACAAGAAGGAACCTCAAGTGGATGAAGCCGAGATTGTAAGACAAGAGTTTGATGAAGAAAACACACTCTTGTTCACGACCACAGAAGGGGAATGCATCAGTAATTGGCTACTGGACAGCGACAACAACAGTTTTGGAAAGGGTGCAGAAGCATGTCGTATCTGATTACATAAAAGTTGTAATTGATTATAGGTAGAATAAAAAAAAAGTGGTGACTGTGAGAGAAGAATTTTAGTGCAGGGGGGAATGGTATTTGGACTATGAATGTTCTACACATATGACGGGAAGGAAGGGTTAATTTTTTAAAATCAATCTTTCCATGAAGAACAAAGTGAAGTTCATGGATGACATCACTCTATTAGTGGAAAGGATTGGTGATGTATCGATTGAGAGAAGGGATGGTAGACATTATTTGATAAAGGATGTATTGTATATTATCGGAATCAAGTGTAAGCTTCTAAGTACTGGCCAAATTCTTGAGAAGGGTTACAAGACTCGTATGTGGAACAAGGCGCTAAGCGTTATGGATGAAAATAAGGTTTTGATCCTTAAAGCTCTTATGACTACCAATAGAACTTTCAATGTTGAGTTGAAGTTTATGGAGCATAGGTTACTTACTATAGCGGCTAGTTGAGAAGACTGGATATGGCACTATCGTCTTGGGAATCTCAATTTTAGAGATCTCAATACATTGCAAAAGAATAGAATCGTAATGGGGCTTCCATTGATCAACATACCGACTAAAATTTGTGAAGAGGGTCTACAAGAGAAGCAACAGAAGGGTAGATTCAGCAAGGATGTATCTTATGAAATCAAGCATCACCTTAAGGTGGTGTATTTCAATGTGTGTAGACCGATGCAACTTGCTCGATTAGTAGCAATAGATATTTAGTCACAAGCTATGGACGTACATAATAAATACGAAAGGGTGAGGTATTTAAAGTGTTTAAGAAGTTCAAGTCCATGGTTGCGAGGTAAAGTGGTCACAAGCTCAAAGTTCTCAAAACTGGTGGTGGAGGTGAATACGTCTCAAATGACTTTGGGAAATTTTGTGATCAAGAGGGGATAGTACATGAGGTAGTACCATCTTGTACACCACAAAAAATGGTGTTTTTAAAAGGAAGAATCAATTTATTATGAACATGGTGAGAAACATGTTAAATGGTAAGAATTTTCCGAAAGAGTTATGGGGAGAAGCGGTATCCAAAACCATCTAGTTGTTATCCAAAAGAGAAGCTTGAGAAGATAACACTGGAAGATGTACGGTCTAGATTCAAACTAAATATGAACAATTTGAGAGTTTTCGGATATGTTGCGTATCAACTTGTTTCAGGGCAGCTTAGAAAGAAGTTGGATGATAAGGGAGAATTGATGATACTCGTAGGATATCAATCTACCGGTTGTTACAAGTTGTATGATGCACCAAACATAAGGATTGTGATCAGCCGAGACATCATGGTTGACGAGATATAGGAGTTGCAACAACCTGTAACTAGTTAATAGAAATTTGTAACCAGTTACAACATTGAAAATTCAGTTTCAACAGAGTTTGAGAGTGCAGAACCATCCCTTGTCGAAGCCTGAATTAAATAGAATGTGAGAAGATCAACAACACAAAGAGGTTTGCTTACAAGATTCCAAGATCATCGGTTGTTTCGCGACAACAAAGTCAATAATGATGGTGATTTTGTCCATTTTGTACTTATGGCCAAATCTAAGCCTGTTAAAATGAAAGAGGCCTTGAGTGATCTAAAATGAATTTGTACTATGAAGGTGGAGTTGAAATCTATTGATAAGAACAAGACTTGGGAGTTAGTTGATCTAGAAAGAGGTTGATTAGTGTAAGATGGGTCTATAAGGTGAGGAAAAATCCTAAGGGTGAAATAATTTAGAATAAGGTTCGATTAGTTGTAAAAAAGGATTTTTACAAAAATAATGTATAGACTTCGAAGAGGTATTTGCACCGGTTATTAGAATTAAAATCATTTGGCTAGTTATTAGTATTGCTAATAATAACAATTGGTCCATCTATCAAATGGATGTCAAATACAAATTTTTGAACAAGCCACTTCAAGAGGAGGTATATGTAGAACTACCCCTTGGTTTTGTTGTGAAGAACTAAGAGTCAAAGTTCTACAAATTGAAGAAAGAGTTTTACAATTTGAAACAAGCTCCAAGAGCTTGGAACAAGAGGATAAATGATTTCTTAAAGGATATTGTCTTCAAAAAGCGTGTATCTGAACATGGTGTGTATGTAAAAAAGGATACAATTGAAGGGGTGATAATCCTTCGTCTATACGTAGAAGATTTAGTGATTACGGACAGAGACGAAAAATGCATTTTCTATGTTCAACAGTGATTTTATGAAAGAGTTTGAGATGATCGGCCTTGGTCTCATGACATACTTCCTCGGTAATGAGTTCGACAAGTCCAAGAAAGGGTCACTCATGCACCAAAGAAGGTATGCGCTTGAGATTTTGAAGAAGTTTGAAATGAAACATTATAATATTGTCACTACACAAGTTGAACCAAGAATACAATTGTCGAAGGATGAGGATAATCAAGATGTTAATTCAACTCAGTATATGAGGATGATTGAATCTTTGCATTACTTGTGCAATAGCCGACGAATTTGGAGTTTAGTGTCGGTATTGTGAGTAGATTCATAGACGGGCCAAAGGTGTCTCACTTGGCAACATTCAAGAGGATTATAAGATACGTCAAATGATTTATTAGATGCGGAATTCTCTTTCCCCCAGCGGACACGAGCAGAAAGTGCAATTTGCTCAGTTTTATCGATTTCAATTGGTGTGAAGATAAAGATGATCGAAAGTCTACCCTTGGATACATCTTTATGCTCGGTGAAACACCAATCCCATTATAATGTGAAGAAGAAACCAGTAGTAGCTCTCTCATCTTGCGAGACCGAGTACGTTGTCGCTTCGTATTGCATGCCAAATTGTGTGGTTGATGAATTTATTGAAGGAGCTAGGCAACGATGAGGGTTACATTGTAATGCTCATGGTCGATAACATTTCCACTATAAATCCTGCTAAGAACCCAATTGCTCATGGGAGGAGCAATCATATTGAGATGGAGTTTCACTACTTGAGAGAACTTGTTAGTGAAGGAAGGTTGGGATTGCGATATTTAAAAGTGAAGACCAAGTGATTGATTTGTTAATCAAGGGAGTCACAAACGAAATGATCAAGAGACTGGAGATAAACATGGATATGGAAGACTTGGAGCACTTGAATTAAGATGGTGTGTTAAGAGAAATTTCATAATTTAAGTGTTGTAACCAGTTACCACGGGCGTGTAACAGGTTACATGTATGAAGAAATAAGTTGAGAAAAAGTGATTTTGTCGTGGGTGTAACTGGTTACATATTTGTAGTAACCGGTAATTACTGTTAGTATTTTTCAGTTTTGTAGTAGTTGTAACTAGTTACAGGTTTTATGTAACCTGTTACAAATACGAAATTTATGTTTTTTCTATTATTTAACTTGTTGTTTGTGTCTCAATCAATTTATAATTGTTTAAATATCTTAGATATATCAATATCAATGTAGTCTACTTATTCTCACCCTAATTATATTTTTTATTTAATTATCTATCTCGTCTCAGTCTCTAAATTCAAACCCTCTATTTTTACAACTAACTGATTTCAAGTTCTAACACAATCTAATAGTGTTGTCTTTTGCTGTTGTACCGTTTTCTTTTTCTTATTGTTTCGTGGTGTTTTTATTTAAGTATTTATTGGGCTCTTGGGAAGGGTTTCTATTCTTTATATTTATTTGCCTTAAAAAAAAGCATCTTTAGTGGGGTAAGGAAGTGCTAGTACTAGAAACCATAAAGCAGAATTGTACTGTACCAGCTAGGGGAGAATAATTGTTCTGCGTCATTTCATAAACTAGAGGACGAGCACACTCATGCTTGTTTTCACAACTATTATTATTATTTATCACAAATATTCCATAACACAAGATAATGATTTTGCATCAAAAAACCATGTCTTCCTTTCCCACTCTATAAATACCAACAATTTCAATGTCTTGTACTCACAACCAATAGTGCTAAGCACACTCATAACACCTTACAAATAGACTTGAAGGGTGTGAAAAATGGGAGCTAAGAGGTCATCTTCATCTTTATGCAATATATTCAAAGCATGTTTCTCAAGTGGAAACAATGATGAGTATTGGGAAGGTAGTGGAACTGGAAGAAGAATGTTTGCAAGTGATCAAGATAGAGGTTGTTGGGTTGCAGAGCCTGGTATTGATAGGAAAGCTTCTGATTTCATTGCTAGATACTATGCCAATCGTGTCACTGACTCTCAAAGCCAATTTGCTTCAATGAATTAATTACTATTTTCCACCATCATATTTATTTTTCTACCTCATTTTTTTCTCTCCTTCTTTGTACTTTGATCCACCTTCTTAGCTATAGAACCTTTGTTATTGCCAATGAATGCCTCTTTTCGTTTCAGTTTTCTTATATGTGTAGTAGCTCTATTATTATTTGTTTTGAGATCAATCTATGCAAGAGAATAGAAAGATAAAATAAATTCATGAAAAGTGAAAAAGAAAAGAGAGGGACAAAATGAAAGATTCATTCACGATTAAATATTTATGGCTAAGTTTCAATTTCTTTGTTAACTGAGTTCATGTAGAATTTATATATTGCTTTTAAAAAATTACAAAAATTTTCACCCATCGTTTGTCATTTTGGTTATGTGAAAACCATGTCCTAAAGCTGAATGATGTGGAAAATAAGTACAATCAGAATAAAATGATACCTCAACGTACAATGGAACATTATTTATTATCAAATCAATCAATGTCTAATAGTAGATCATAAAGCTACTTTTGGTTTCAAGAATACAAAATACTTTTGGTCTCAAGAATACAAAACAGTCCAATATATGTAATTCTTTTTTTATTTATGTATTGTCATCATCAATTTAATGGTATAAATTGCAATTACTTTATCTTGAAGTTTATAAAAGAGACTATTATTTTGAATTAACCTGATATTTCAAAAATGATATGAATTTATAATTTAGTTAATATTTTAGTAGTTAATAATTTTTTATTTAATTAATTTTAATTCAATTATATTATGTTATATTATGTTTTATTTTAATAATTTCAAGTGTTTTACTTATTTAAAAGATATATTTAATAAAATTAAGAAGGATTGGAATAAATACATTCTCGGACTAAGAACTATATGATATGTTTAATGTAAAGGTGTGTTTTATCTTGCTAAACTTTGATGTTTATTTTTTTCTCTTTAGTTTATTATGAAAAGATAAATATCAAGTGAAAGTTGAATATGTTTTATATTATTATGTTAGAGAATAGTCACTTAGAGAAATTTGAAAGTTATCATTTATCATCATATAAGAGCTAGAGATTAATTAATAGTTTTTCAAACAAAAATCATACTAATTTAATACTTGAGTGTCATTTTAGTTTACTTTCACATGGCTTTACCCACCACTTATTTGATCTAACCAGTAGAGATAGTCCATTTCTTCAACAACATGTGGGTCAACCTTGCACAGTTGCAACCATTTAAACATGCATGGTCATAAAGGCTCACAAGGGCATGGTAATCTAGCTCTTGAATTTCCGCAATTATATCAATTAAAAATAAATAGTGAAACTCTTATAAAAGAAGTGATACAATAATATATATTACAAGAGGGCTAGATTGTTGCAGCCCTAGAAAATTGAATTATATCCAATTACAGACAACGCTGCTAAAAGAAAAAACAGCGCTGCTAAAAGAAAAGACAGCGCTTTTTTTCAATGTAAAAGCGCTTTCTTATATCTATTATAGACAACGCTTTTAAAATAGACAACGCTTTTTTATATACCCATTTAGCATTGCTTTTGCTTTAGACAGCGCTTTGTTATTTTTTAAGTTAGGCTTTAGACAGCGCTTTCCTTTAAAAGCGTTGTCTATTCCCCCACTTTAGACAGCGGTTTTCTTTAAAAGCGCTGTCTATTCCCCCACTTTAGACAGCGCTTTCCCACTTTAGGCAGTGCTTATTTTTGAGTTTTTACAGCGCTTTTCTCTTAAAGCGTTGTCTATTGGTCACGATTTTTTTTTAATAAAATACCTATTTTGACTTACAAATGTGTTGTCCAATATATATAATGCATTTTAATCAGAATTTTAACCATATTTGAACCAGGTTTTCACCATATTTGGTAGTTTCATTCCAATAAAATATGCATATATAAAAATTACACATATATATAAATTGATGATATATACAACAACAACTACAAAATTTATGATACAAGTTAAAATTCTACAAGTTAAAAATCATAAAATTCAAAATTGATGTTACATCTGTACATCTTACTATCTTCGAGAATTCTCATGAAACTACAACAACAACAACAACATGAATATCTTAGCTCTATCTTCTACACATGCACCTATAAACCTGGAGAAAAAAACCAAATGATCGAAATTCATAACATGATAATATTAACGTTTCACTTTATTCGAATTTAATTTATACTCAAAACTCGAAAGTTCTAATCAAAGGAAATAAGACAATATATCTTAGCTTATAAAACTCTCAACCCGATAATGAATTGACATCATTCCTCCATAAGTTCATCCAATTGATCTTTTGAGTAATGTGCACAATTGAATTCCTCAAAGTACTACATATATAATAATATAACATAGTATGTGATTTAGTTAAAACAATATGTCATTTTATGAGAAACACAAAATATGAAAATAGTATGTAATTCCTAAGTTAGAAATTCATACCGTGGATGGAATCTCTAATCGATTCAAAAGAATAGTTTCTTTCATAAACCTCAACATGAAATAGCCGCAATATATACCGTTACGCTGGCGAGGACACTACACAAGGAAAGAAAATACGAATATATATCAGGATATACCCCTTAAACTGTTTTATCAAGTATCATCACTAATGTAATCAAAACTGAATATCTCTTTGTGAAAATATACCTCCACTCTGATCCATGTAACGTTGTTGGCTCTACCTTTTGGCACTTGAATATCTCTTTGGGAGCGAAAAGCTAGTAGAACGCTATAATAAAATATAAACGACTGTTTAGAACAATGTCACATAGAAACATAAACATAAACACAAATTCAGATATGTTGACCATAAACATAAACATAAACACAAATTCAGATATGTTGACCATAAACATAAACATAAACATAAACTTGAATATTTCTTTGGGAGCGAAAAACTTACGTGTCAATCATCTGCTTCAAATATGGATATGTTGACCAATCATTATATAACGAATCTAGATAATACACAGTTTCTCTCATAGGATTAATCGCAACCAATAACCAGTGTCCACTGTAATATTAAACAAAGATTAAACAATGGCCAAAAACAGAAAATTATAATAGATCAAGTTAGGATGAAAATCTAACCCGTTGTCAGTATTATATGGAAAAAAGAATAACTTCTCAGTATCTTTGATGGCCACGAATAAACCGAGTACATATGCTATGACATCATCTGGTCTTGTTACAGTTAACCCTGAATTGACAGTGTTAGGAGCTAAGAAGCCAAATCTTGTTTCTAATCCACGCGGGCGCACAATGTTGTCATACATAAACCTTAAATTAAATCATCATTAACATTATACTATATTCATTGAAATAAGGAAATAAATTGTTCATTTAATTAAACAAAGTTAATCAAGGTATACCTGATGTATGTACCGATAACACTAAGGCCTAATTCCAAATGTCTAAAAACTTGCTCCATATCCTCTCTACCAATTGCTTCCAGGTATTAAAAACCAAATATATTTGCACTCATAGGTATAAGGCTGGTACCACCATCTGGAACATCTGTTATTCCTAAATCTGTCCAAAGGCACGACCTGACTTGAGCAGTAGTTTTTTTTCTAGCCACGGTCTTCTTAGAAATATTCTTTTTTTTGTGTGGAAATATTGCTAATTTCAGGCGCCTTACCCTTACTGACTTGTGCAATCTCTTTAGCATGAATCTAGTTATCATATAATTAGTTAGGGGAAGTATAAAATCATAAATTAGCATTTCTCATAGCATAAATGTCATATAATTGTGTTGCACCTCAATTGATGCAATTGACTCGGTCTCCCGCCTAATCCCCTTATCTTTTGGAATGGATTTTGTTGGAGTCTAACATTACCATGTAAACAAAATGTAAGTAAAATTGCCTTAAAAAATTTGAATAGTAAATGATTTTAAGCATACCTCATTATCAATGAAAACGAGGCTTGACGGCCATGCAACAAATGATCCTATTGCATCTGCCACCAATGTTGCATCCGCTACATCGTCGGGTAGTGGTAACAACACACCCCCTCTAAAACAACATCAACCGATACTTTCAAAAATCCATCTGGGAGCGGTTTATGGTTAAGCATTTCTCCCGAAGTATTATACACTTTTCCCTTGCCAACCATCCGATAAGTCGGTGCCGACAAATAGAGTTGACACCGGGAAATGTCCTATAACCATTAATAAATATGGTTATATAATTAATAAATATGGTTATATAATTTACAAATATGGTATATAATTACCTCGGGAATATTCCGTCCAAAGTTACCATCGATACTATATTTGTCACTAGTATCTTTAAAACCTGTAGCTTGATCTATTTCTTTTTCCTTTCTCAGCTCATAAACTTCTTGTTGTAACTTTTCCAACTTTTCCTGAAGTTATTTATTGCTATGAGCTTTTGTCTTTGATTTTTCTTCAAGGATGTTGGAGTGATCCCAAATCCCTTACCCCTCACCTGACCAGAATACTCACAAATATCTAATGCTCGTGAGAGTATTCTCCTGCAATCATTATCTTCATCTGGAGGTATAGACTGAGAAAGAGTCTCCTGAAATTCATATAAATATTGTAATTAAAGAATGATATATTAATAAAAGAATGATGTAATTAAATAAATAAAAGTATGATGTAATTAAATAAATAATGTTATACTTACACATCTCTTGAAAATTTGTTGAACTTTTTCTTCAACAACTTCATCCTTACACACACGGGCTTCCTTCTACAAAATGTGTTCCGGAAGAGATGTTTCAGAACTATTCTCCTTTGTTAGCTACACATTGAGCCAAATAACATGATCAAATATAAGCGTGCATATATTATAGATACTTTGCAATTTATAGATACTTACAATAGATTGTTGTAAGCGTGCATATCCCATACGCCCTTTTCTGTATGGATATGCTGGACTTGATGCTCGTTGTCGATTTACGACACTTAAACTCTCAAATTTCTGGGTATTTCTTTTGGATTTAAAAGTTTCCCATTCTTCAGTTGTAATGAAAT